AATTGCTAGCCATTGCCCCGCTTGCGTCTTGGGTGCAGAACGTAATTGTTATGTGAATATTAGACACGAGCCGCGAATATGTCGTTCTCACACTGATTTGCTTCATCCCTATACAGATGGGCCGCACTGCACTCAGTACGACGTGAACTTTTGTGCTTATTGTGGTGAACCATTAGATTCTTCCTCGAGCACCTCGGATTCGGATGGCAAAAAGCGGCGACTGTTGCAAATGAAACTTGGTCAGGAGGCATTGGACTATTACGAAAGACGGAAACGTTTGGCTAATCACGTACGACATAGCCACAGTCGATACCATCGTGACAGATCAGTTCCAGCCAACATTGAACAGCGTATCGGTCGAATGAATCTGACGGAACAATTAGTTCGCTCCAAGAATCACGTCAGCGATGTTCCTGGCCGTGTTTCGAGCTGTCCTCATCATAGACCAGTTGGTTCGGCAAGCTCAAAGAGTTCGCACACATTCCTAGACAGTTCACTCTCGTTGCTTCCATAATAAAAAACATTGCACCAAAACCCACACACACAAACACAGACGCGCATGCTCGCACATGTTTATTGTTTGGTATGGATTTTATAGACTGTTCATACTATTCCGCCTGTTTCAAATTCAACAAATGCAACATGCCTAATCAGGTAGGGGAGAAATAAGGCACTGCCTGTTCGACTTTCTTCTCTTCCACTAGTGAAGATGTACAAATTGTTAACCATGTTGTTCCGAGTAATGTGTGCTGAATTTCAATCCATTTTCACTTCTAATGTTCGTGGATGGCAGATGAGTGCGATGGTGAGTTGTTTGACTGCATCGTTCTTGCCGAAGCTGGTGTGAACATTTTGACATTTGACAAATGGTGACATTGATTGGTGAATCGGGTTAGGCATGGTTCTAAGAAAGAAAAACTTTCTGCTGATAATTTATCGTCGATATGTTTTAAAAATTACCTCATGTATCTGAGGTGCCAAATGCCACAAACCAGGGCCATGAATTTCACTTGAAGATGGTAAATCACGCTGAGAACAACGTGTCCTAATCGCGGGTGGAGGTAGGTAGAAATGATGCTGTTTTTTCATTGTCCAGTTTCGCCAAGAAGGAATACTTTGAAATTCACTCCTCCAATCTTCACAGACGAATTCCATTGGCCTCACATGAAGGTTGGGAGGGATTTGAACTTCATGTCAGCAAACAGAATTCTCTCGTCTTTATTATGTTATATGTGTATTCACATGTTCTTGCAGTTAGTCTATTTAGGAAGAAATACCTAATACGTGAACATATTTTAAAGGAACAGAGAATAAATACCCTGGAGGATTATCCATAAGTGCATTTGGTTGTTTGTCAGTGCGTGTGTATGCATGGACACAGAACAATGTATCGTGTTTAGTTCAACTCCCTTCCCCGCAGCCCTAAAGGGATTCACGAACTAAGTTTGTCGCTCAAATTTTCATAGCCTGCAAACAACTTGTAGGTTCCGGAACTACGTGAGAGTCATAATGTGTTCAGCGTGTGTGAATCTGTTTTTGATCGCATAGGAACCACATTCACCTTGTTTTTCTAGAAACGTACAGGGTAGGTTAACTACTCAATTCAGCTTGGTTCTTGAGAAGAATAAGGGATGAAGCTTTCTGGTAAAAATAAGAAACAAAAGACTGTGTTTCATAGCCGAACTGTGATTTCAAAAGCAAGACATCAACTTCTACTAATATTTAGGTGCTCATTTTTTTCTCTGTCATATTTTGAAAACTAAACGCAATTAAGGATGTTGACTAACATAAGGAAGGGTGACAACTTCAGTTCCAATTGATGTCTAATATATTGGGGCAAGTCGCAGGCATTTTTTCAGCTTTTTTGTGAGTAAACATTTGTGACAGATTAAATCACTTCGTGTAAAGGTTTCTGTGAATCGGGTACTGTTCTTTGTTGCGTATAATGTGTGTTAGAGAAAAAAGGAACTCCCTATGGTAGAAGAAGGTACTATAGAGGAGATAGTACGGGAAAATTTACGTGAGACCCGGTTTATTGATTCTGTATCTAAAGAGTGTAAGGTTGTAAAACAGAAAAAGGACAGAAAGTGGGAGGGTGTTCCTAAACTTGGCAGTTGGAAAAAACATTGAACCAGAGAAGTACGACACCTGGGAACCAAAATCTGATAAGGATGACTAGATTCGTATTTACTGGATGGACTGGCAGAAGTTGAAGGAAGAGGAACTGCAAAAATAAGCTCCAGAGAACAAAAAACAAACTAGTAAAGGTATAGAGGGGACAATGAAGCCCAACGATGGACCTGTGACTGCAAGCTGAATGTTAGGGACGGATCATCGATCAGTCGGGTAGCCTTTCGTTGAACGCGACAAAGGACGGAACCCTATCCCACATGTGCCTGCATTATTCAAAAGTAGGGTGGACCTGAGCTTTGTACAGTAGAAGATAAGTATGTCTGAAGAAGCGTCTGGAGCGGAACGAAAAGCCAGCCTTGGGTGCTGCAGGGGAAGCAAAATAATATATTAAATCGGACAAGCATAAGGAAGAAATTACAAGTAGTCGGAGAGGAGAAACAGAGTCTGTGGAACACAATTGAGTAGGAACAAACGATAAGGGAATGAATTGTGTTTTAGAGAAAATGAACGAACCGTCGTTTTAGTAGCATGGAATAAACCATAGCTGACGTTGCCTCAGTAGGCGATATATTCGAAATCAGTGTCCAATGACGCTGTCTTGATCAATTTTGCTTGCGGTATGGTTAGTAGTGCAATCTTAGAGGGAGCAATGGAGGGTGGTATCATTGAAAAAGTATTGGATTGAGTTGCCAAATTTTGAAAGGAAACCACTGATAAATAGAAAATGTTGGGCGCAAGTACTGGGCCTTGGGGAACACTAGCAGTTCTAGGTAACGGCTGGGATAGAACCCCATCAACTCGGAAAGAGATGGGTCGCTTATTGCAGAAACTTTAGTTCAACGACATAAGAGCTGGAGGAACCCGAAAATCTTTGATTTTTCCAGTATAAATTCGTACCAAGCTAGATGGTCCATATGGTAATTCATAGTATTGCTCAGCAGATAGGTGCACAAAAAAAAACAATATTCGTTCGTATTCACAGTGGGAAGCTATCATGGGCCCGAGACGTGCCAAATTATATTGTATATTTTATATATATTATATGTTACTTTAGGCTATTTGTGCAAGTTGTAGATTGTGACTATGCATTAGTAAAGTCTCGCAATGGACCGTATCGCTGGAGTATTCTACGAACTTGCGAAAGAGTCGTCGCAGTGATTTGTATCAAAACTTCAAAAAAGTAAAGTGTTCCCATTGTTGGAGATACCGTCATTCTGGACTAGCTTAACTTTTGTTTTCTGAAGCCACAAGAAAATAGCTGCTTAGACATAAGCCTGGTTCAGTCTATGATGAAATAGTACTTAACATTGTTCTCTCCCTGTTTCTATTGCAAGCGTGTTCATAGTGGCGGTGGTGCCCTGGTGTTAAAGGTCACTAACTTATCACTTCGGGAGATAAGTGCACGAATCCCACCACCACCGCTTAACTTTCCCCAATATGTTTTGTATGACGGTCCATTGTTTGGCAGCCTCCGTTTTCCTAAAATTGGTATCATTGTATATTCAATGAAACGAAGCAAAAACGACGAAAAGGAGTGGTAGAGACTTCGAAATTCGGAAGGGAACGAGAAAAAGATCAAAAAGCAAAACTGTTGTAACATCAACGCTAATTATCACCGGTCCATGCAACAGAATCGGATGTAAAGTGACGCAGATAAATGACTATAAAATGGACAGGCTGAGGCAACATGTATCTCATGCATGCAACAATAGGGAATAGTGTTCGGTAAACATTGGGAAGAAAGGTAGTCATTTGCAAACATTTAATGTCATGTATACAGGTAGATGGAACAGGTGTGCGGCACACATTGAACCTCACACGTTGCTTTTGAAGTCAAATGTCATTTAGCCTACAAAAATAAAACGAGGAAGACGTTTTCATACCTAAATCACCTGGCTATTTATGGCCTAAACTTGACAGATGGCTGAAGACGTGTCCTGATCTTCATTTGATCTAAACATTTCAAATTAAACTGTCGTGATTCATACCGGGAAACTAGTGTGTTCAACCGGCTGCACTGGAAAGTTATCATAATTTCTTTGGTCGATGATCACAGATAGCAAAACAATTGAATGGATAATATTAGTGCTTTTGGGATAAAACTATTTTCTCATACTTTGAATAATAAAAGGGAAAGACCCCGGATTGAATAAAAGCCTATGGTATTCTATGAATAGAAGGGTTACCTGTAATATACGGATTTCCACTAAACGCGGAGATAATAATTTTATACACATGTGAATGATTAACTTCAAATCATACACCGTTGTACGGCGTTTATCAGGAAGCTCTTCACTGTGTACTGTTCCTGTTTTTCGAGTACTGTATCTTGAAAAGCAAACCTGGTGAAATACGGTGTTGAACACGGGTTTAACGTTCAAGAGAAAATATTCTCCCTATTCTCAAACCTGATCTAAAATATCCATCGTTCTAGAATGAAATTGCAGTTTTATGCGCATTAGGCGAATGAAATCGACTATCTGTGTGCAACGGGAAAGGGAGTGTGACATTTGACAGTTTGAATGTTTCTCTCACTCCCAATCTCATTTGAAATTTAACCAAATCCTCCATTACCGACATCATAAGTTATCATTTATCTTTATCACAAAGACAAATAATTGGATGCTCACGATTAGCTGAAAAGGATCCGGATGTATTCCCGTATGGCGTCAATAATTTCGTGATAGATTTAAATAGTCAGTAAAAAAGTTCCGAAAGAAACATAAAAGCACTATTGGGTAGCAATTATTGGGACCATTGCAAGAATTGCTTATCGTCAGTCTACGAACCAGCGCGATCCCATTTTCAAGACTGAATCAACCATATAAGGTTAGTGAGCTTTCACGGACATCACACGACTATTAGTTAGCCAATAAAAATGTGAAACCGGACTCACTCCTGTATGTGTAATTAGTAAATGCTTGCATGTGTATCTCATTCTCGATCATCATAACCACCCGGTTCAAATAAGAAATATCTCAGAACGTGAGAGCACAAGATATCGGAAGGTGATCCATGTGAGGTAGTAAAGAAAAACGGAGAAATGCTACTTAAATTCAAAGTATTCGCTCACGGAAGCGGAATGACAACATGATGTATATTACAACTCATAAGATGGATCCACTGACGGAACTGCAGATCAACCTAAGCATCGTTCTCATCAATAACATTGATACGAATAATCCTTCCTGATATTATATGGCATACATTGGTCAAGACGTCATACTGAACTGAATCATTCCTGAGATCGGTGTCTACTGTCGGCCACGATGAGATCAGCCATCTGTTCAAGGGGAACAGGATCTTTTGCATCCTCTATTTTGGTTCCTTTTCTATAGAGTAAAATTGAACTGAGGGAAAATTCACGAATCTGGCTGAGTT